TCTAAATATTTGTATAAAATTGATTTTCCTAGAACTTTACATTGACAAAATCACAGGCATATTATTCATAAAATAAAAATAAAAAAATTTATATATTAGGACCGGTCCGGACTGGTCCCAAAAATTGAGGACCGAGGACCGTAAGACCGGTCCCAAGACCGGTTTACGGACCGGTCCTTGCAGGACTGATCCAACCCTAATACATGTAGTTCGACAGAAGATTATTATTCCATAACGATAAGTCATAACGATAACGATAACGATAATATTATGGGATTAACTTAGAGGTCAAAGTTCAAAGTTACGTTTCACCAAAACGTAATTTTTACATGATGATACATTACCATTGCACAAAAAATTCAGGGACATTTCTATCTCTTGTGTGCGTGTTTGGATCAAAGATGAATGCATGTGATTGATTTTCAATTTAAGCAGCCTTCTATTATCATTGTCATTACTTACACACAATAATAGAAGTAGTCATAAAAGGTTTCTTTTTATGCGTTATCGTTATGTCTCATTTTTCACGCATGTAAATCGATGTTACTATCTCGTTATTAATGTTCGAGAAACCGGGTTTTCATATATCAGTATCGATGAATGCATGTGATTGATTTTTCAATTTAAGCAGAAAACCGGTTTTACATATATGTAACGTTAACATAACGATAACTTTGTTCTTTTAATACGTACATAATTTGTGTATCGATTTTTCCCACACAATTCTTAGAATAGAACACAAACCAACTTTGATGTTTCGTTGTAATCATCGTTCAAGATACATGTAATTTATACAATAAAGAAAATGTAAAATGTTGTTGTCATAAAACTTTTTGAAAAAATATATAGGACCACCAGTTCTGATCGCAACAATTTAATCCGGACCGGACCAATTTCTGTGTTAACATGAGAGTTTCACAAAAGAGACAATGCATTTGATGTGTTAAAATAAAATCCCGACTCTTATCCTGTGAAACTCTCATGTTAACACAGAAATTGATTTACAAACTAAGGAAGCTCTATGATGGTATAACTCTTTTAATAATCGGCGATTAATGTCAACACGTCGATTTACACACACACAAAGATTCTAAAACAGTACTGAATTTTGATTTTGCACACGAACCTCATTAGCTCAAGTTTCTTATAAAGATGCCTTTGAATTAGGAGACACCTTGAATTTCTTAAAAAAATACTATTAAACTGTAAACATGCGCTGCACCTCCTGTTATGATTGCGGCAGGCTCGCGACTCACATGCATGGATCTAATGGTTGCTGTGGAGCGTGTCCTTCCCCCAGAATAGTGCTGCCACAGGACAGTACGAGATATAGTACTTCTTCCCCCCGAATAGTGCTGTCAGAGGATAGTACGAGACATATTATGGGACAGTTGGGACATGGTATGGGGCAGTTGGGACATAGTATGGGGCAATCACAAAATTCTCTTCTGTGCTGGTGTTGTAGCAATTCTTTTAACGAAAGATGTAGATGTTCAATACATAGTTATACGATTGAAGATCCTAAGTGTACACATTGCAACCCAGATAACATCATTGGGGAAACTGTATCGTCCCCTCCTCAATCCGATGAATTCTGCGGCCATCATTATGCTTGTCACAATATTAAGACACATATTCATCGTACTTTTTATAAAGATGATAGAGTTTCAGGGAGGCCTTGTTGCAGAAAAGAATGTAAAATCGGACCTCATAGAAGTTCTGGTAGTTGTTGGTGCTGTAAAAAACCTGTCCACGAAGGATGTAGATGTTCGATATTTAGGTCTCTTGGTTGCTCTGCTATATGTGCTACTTGCCGACCATCTGCCTTCGCTAAACCTAAAATGGATATCCATAAAAAAGATAACTATTCGTACCGAAACTACTCTGCTGTAATCGAAGAATGTTGTATTGATGATAAAAGCGAAAAATCCCCTATGCCGATAGTCCTTTGGTGTCATCCACGTTCATGTTCTTCTGCATTCCAACGAGCATTCCTTCAGCGTCCCCAAGAATTTAAGTGTTTTCAAGAACCATGTAGAGATGATGATTCCTTGAGTATGATTTTTGGAAAATATTATCAACGAGAAAAAGACCATAGAAAAAGTCAGAATCAATTTTATGAAGATAATAAACCACTTAGAGTGTTTGCCAAAGATATGGCATATTTCATTAGAGACAAGTATGGACCAAATGTCAGAAATCCATCTTTGCCCAGGTCGACACTTTCAATGATTAGACATACATTTCTTATCCGAGAGCCATCAAAATCCGTAAAATCCCTTTATCGACAAATGTATTCACAATGGTATAAATCCCTCAAAGAAAGTGGATTTGATTTTAGATCAGCAATAGACCTCAAAAAAAGAAGAATTGAGTTTGGATTTAACACTTTACTAATAGGCATCAAAGAACTTGCTGAGTTTTTTAAATATGTTAGAGAGGAGTTTAGTGATCAGACATCCCTGGTGATAGACGCAGATGATCTCTGCAAGGATCCAAGAGGTGTATTAGTGAAGTATTGTAAGTTAATTGGAGAGGAGTTTGATGAGAGTATGATCTCTTGGAAACCAGGAAAAGTCGAAAATGTGGAATCATGGCGTGGATGGCATAGGTAGGTTGTTTATTTCGCTTTGACTATGTATTTTATTAGCATTGAAAATGTTAACCAAGCAGATTCTTTTCATAAAATTATTGTTTCCGTCGGTAAAAAAATAGTGATTTAGAGCAAAGCACGGGATTTAATGAATTTCTAAATACTAGAAATTCTTATCCCAAAGAATTCAAATATCCTCCTATCGTTGAAGAATCAATTCAAGAAAATAGAAAGTTCTATGAGTATTTGTATCAATTTCGAATCACGTCTTGAATGTTATACATATTTGACAAATTGTTTAGAGTATGATATTTTTCACCACTAAATAAAAATAGAAATTTTTGGTCATATGCAGTTCTAAAGAAACTGATGGCTTCTGTCACTAACGCTAAGTTGACACGTAATACGTGACCAATGCTGATAAATGAGTACAGAATTCCTTAACCTAAGCATCATTATCGTTATACGCAGTCAAAACTATGAGCTGCGACAGGTTAATACCCTAAATCTATTAGATTATCGTTATCGTTTTATTGATAAAAATAAATCACCGTATCGATAATGATTGCATAGATCTTTGCTTCTGTAATTACCATATCAATTAATATCGATATGTGCTGAATTTCATATCTTTGTGGCGTTTATGTTACTAAAAATTGACTTTTTTGTCTTTTCGTTTCAGTGATGCAATACTTTTGAGCGCCACTGTAGATATTACTAGTTTACGCGTTTTCACATTTGTATGATCTTTTCACGCGTTTTCACATTTTTATAATCTTTTCTCGCGTTTTTTTTAAAATTAATCAAAAATCTAGAACTGCCTTTATTAATTATAATGGCAAAACAGCACAATGGATACGACAACCAACTAACAACACCATTCTTACAGAAACACAGCAACTAATCGATGAAATTACTCCTCTAGATTTAAATTTATCTTATTCATCTGCTTTTAACAATCAAGCGACCAGTTCATCAAGCAATCAAGCAACCAGTTCATTAAGCAATCAAGCATCCAGTTCAAACAATCAAGCGACCAGTTCATCAAGCAATCAAGCAATCAGTTCATTAAGCAATCAAGCATCCAGTTCAAACAATCAAGCATCCAGACAATCAAGCATCCAGTTCAAATGATCAAACATTCAGTTCAAATGATCAAGCATCCAGTTCAAACAATCAAGCATCCAGTTCAAACAATCAAGCGTCCAGTTCAAGCAATCAAGCATTAAGTATTCCTGCAAAAAGAAACAATCCATTCACAAATAAAGTAAATAAGGAAAGTTGGGTACGATTATATTTTAAGAACAAAGTTACGAAAAAAATTGTTTGTCAATTATTTATTAAAAATCCGCAAAACAGTGAAGATATTCCTTGTTCAACTACTTATAGACTTACTACTTCGACAACAAATTTGGCAAATCATCTAAGAATAATACCGGTAAGGGGTAATATTCGAAAATTTTCTGGGAAGTGTATTAATTAAGAGATCAACAAATGCATAAAGTATGGTTACACATA